AGTATATCACAGTATTTTATGTAAACAAATACTGCTGATTTTTCCTGTTTTTTACAGTGCCCTTTCTCCTCCCCCAGCCGACCTTCCAAATAAAGGCAGGAAACCCCTTGGATTGGAAGTGAGTTTTCCTTTGTCATCTTGTAGGTATTTTTAATGCCTTAGATAACAGGCATCAAGAACGTTACAGAAATCTGTCTATTGAAAGTTAATCCAAACCTCTGACCACACGGTCAAGTTTGTGTTTCAGCTTTCTTCAAAAGCAAGAAGGCAGTAGAAACCATTCACAAACGCACCACGAAAATCATCATTTACAAGCCAAAATTCAAAAAAGAACGACCGTTGCTGGGAAGAGCTACCTGCAGAATCATAGCCTCTGTACTCCAGCCGCTGGAGCCCTTTGATAAGGGTCTCCAGGATCTCCCGTCTTGTCCGGGGAACATGGTAGTTCAGGTAAGCAAAGATGCCTGCAAGGGGAAAAAGAGCAAAATCTTGTAACAAATCACAGCCAAGGAAACTCTGTACGTGCCATCTACTTAGTGCGTGCACCAAGTTAAAACTCAAATGGGCCTTCGCACTGAATGCCCCGCAGGAAGGTACCGCCGCACTGGCAGCTCTTCCTTAGCCCAGCCTGAGGTCCAATGGAGAAGATGTCGCTACCATTTAAGGGATCAAAACTAACCACGAAATGCTAGCATCCTCCTCGTGACACTGAAAGCACCTACATGGGACAAGCCCGGGTGTGATGTGAGAAAGAATTTCCATGAGCTGGACCTGCATGACGGAATGAGCTGTCAGGAGACAATGCAGCGGACAGGAAACTAATCACTCCAGATGAAAAATTCAAGGTTCGCTAACACTGAACTTCGCACGCTGAAGAACTATCTTCAAAGGCAATTCTTCCGTGAATAGCTTTCTCTAAGTTCCTCCCACAGACTCACCAAGAAAAAAAATCATTTAACTCATGCAAACACCCGCAAACTAATGGAGCTATTTTCCTGTAGGTTGCAAAGGAAGATAAATTGTTGCTTCTATTTTTAAGCAGTGATGGGGACACACGAATTCCTAGATCTCTAATGCCAACTATGGCTCTCTTTTCTGAAAGATTTCCTTTGGTGCCATCATGAAGCAGTAGCATCAGAAGACATTTACAGGGTGCGACAAATCTGTGGACACCTTTGTTAAATCTGAATCCAAACCAGACAGTAGCTCGAAATGTTAGTTTCTCTGCACATTTTAACAAGTTTAGTCATACTTGAACTAAAAAAACCAAAACCAACAAACCAAAACTTGATTCCTTGTCACAGATCACAACTGCTAGCAGCGTACCCCAAAATGCCACGTACTGAATGGGCACAGAGGGAAAACCGACTTCCTCCAGGAAGGGACGGCTCATGCGGAATGAGCCTGAGAAACAGCAGTGTTTATTTCTACTTGTACTGTAAACAAACAGGAAACATCTACCTAGAAAGGAGCCAACTTGGCACTTGTCTCAGGCATTGGAAAAAATCTATTAATTACAGGACAATTATATTAAGATTATTCATGAGAACTGCGAAAAAAATCTGAATCTAAGAATGCCACCAAAAAAAAAAACCAACCCACACCACCCAAAACCAAACCCTGAGGAATGCAGTGCCTCTTAGACACAGAGGCTATGAAAAGCAAGCCAACTAAAAGAAATGCAAATACAGTATTAACACCGCAAAATATGCGGACACGCTCCTCAAAAAAAGACACTGGGAGTGTGTAGACATTGGGAGGTTCAGTTTCGATTCAGTTCAGCTTTTAGATCTTGACGGAAAAACAGCTTGAGCGACAGTGGAGATGCCACTATGAAAATACGAGCTCACCTGTGATCAACACATTTGCAAATGAGAAGGCAAGGAAGACAAGCAGGTTTAAAACTCAACTGAGAGAAAACAGGGGAAAAAAACGAAATAAAAATAAATAGAATAATATGTAAAAAAGATGCATAATTAAAGTAAAAAAGGGGACAATAAGGCTGCTGAAAATGAACACGAGTCTTCCTAAACGCATGACTGCAAGCTAAAATCAAATATATGAAGGCTTATCGCCCATTTATGACATTTAGTCACGATGAATTATGTGTAAACAACAGTTTCATTTACTGGAAATATTTTCAAATGCATTTCATTTCCCCCTTTTCAAACATCCCAAAATGACGTGATCCTTCATAGCTGGAGAAAGTTTCAATCCACATTTAGAAAACAGCATTTTTACTGGCTCTACCCTAACTATTGGATCATTCAGGAATATATGAGCAACCACATCTTGTAATCGCTTCCATTTTTAAGTACAATTCCACTGCCCTCAACAGAAACACTGACGAGAAAAGAAAGACTCAAAGCATTAAATGCTTGTTATGCTTCACTGATCTAAGTGCATTTTTGAAAAATGTTTCCTTCTCCCAGCAGCCACCAATAGGGGCTCTGCAGCTAAAATTTTGCTCTGGAATTACACCTCAAGCCTCGGTCCCATCTGCGCAAATGTACAGCAGGGAACGCGGCCGTGCTGAGTCAAAGGGCGCCCGGCTGATACTTATGTCCCAGCATGACGCAAAGCCCTGGCCGTTCAAGAAAAGAACCTCTTTTTACTCAAAAGCCGAACAAAGGATTGCTTCATCCAGCTACAAAACGTAGCTTTCTCCGAGGTGGAACGCGGCAGCTGTGGGATGGCACACAGCAACTCTACCTTGCAGTTCAGACCATAAAAGACCTTTCTTCCACACACCAGAGACGTGTTTTTCTCCAAATTGCAACGCCTTGTTAAAGCCTCGCTCACTCTCTTCCTCCCTGTGCTTATATTCAAATCTACAGGATTCAAAAGATGAAAAGATATCAACCACACAGAACTTTACAGCTGCTTGAAGGCTTCCGTAAGGAGCGCTCCGTCACAAAGCGCCAATTTTTCTGTCAAAGTGACAATTCATTTAAATCACAACAGTCAATAGAAACATGTTGGTTTTGACGAAATTCCAACACAAATCTAGCAAATTTCCATCAGGGTCCCATCTGGTGCACCACCAGCTTATCCCCCTCGCCAGCCTAGATGCCAGGTGCTGCGAATGTAGAAATCTTGCAGTCCAGGCAGAACGTTCCCGAAACCAACCCACCATGAATTTCAGGTCCCTAGCAGACCTGAAAAGAGGAGTTTTGGTTTCAGCTCAACTTACGCGTTTAGACTTTGTTCAAGGCAAGTGTTTTCCAGTAATAACGCCACACCTGCCCTTCGTAACTCACGCTCAGGAACAAGCCAGAAAGAGGAAGTGTTACAGAAACCAGGATGTATGAATGACATTTAATTACGCTACCTTGACAAGCCTTGTCAATGCCTTCAGCTGGCATTGTTCAAGGTGAAATACATGCCATGTGAAACAAAAAAACAAACAAACAAACAAACCTAACCCCTGTGAACTTCATTCTAGTTCAGCACTGTTTATAACTTGTGAATTCCCAGCTAAAATAAGACAGCAGCAAGCATACTATAGGAATTTCTATCTGACAGGCTCAGAAAACACAATACGCCTGTCTGGAATACACTAATATACTTCAGGACTTGACACTAATATACTTCAGGATTAGAACAGTAGTCACGCTTTACAACATAACAGAACATTTCGGCTAGAAACTTGACACAGGGCTTTGTACGTACGGACTGAAAAGACTTGTTCAAAGCATGTCAGCTTATCATACAATTCTTGAATCACGCTAAGACCTGCTGTAGTGGGAAGAGAAATATATGCAGGACTTAAGTGAAGTACCTTGGACAACATACTTTAGAACATAAAACATTTCCTTTCTTGCAGGTTTGCCTTAAAAACCCTACCTGGTCAACCAGCAGCAGAACAGGTATTCAGCTGCTTGTGAAACTCAACTCTCTCTCAGAACCGATTTTTAATATTCAAGCACAAAACCTGGGCCTCCTTAACGACATAAAGAATTCCCTATAAACAGTTGGCAGATTTTAACAGAATAGCATTTTTACCAAATGGATGTTCATTTTTTCTGTTGTTGACAGTCACTAAAATACTTTTTCTGAGAACTTCATTTTCCTGTGACCTTTTTGGTGCTCATGTTCCTTTATTTCATGGTAAGTTCACAGGAAAATGAAATGAATTACCACTTCCAGGTAAGACTAAGTGATCTTCTACAGTATCCTGAATACGTGAGGTTACTCAGGAATAGCTTCTCCTAATCCTTTTCCCACAAAAGCCGAAAAGCCTTCAGGCTAAGTTTACTGTCGGATTTACAAATTCCTTTATACCATACTGTTAAAACCATTCCAATAGACGATGTTATCAGTACATCCACTTGGCAGTTCCAAAGAATCCTTCGCTCTGGTGATGATTATTAGGCCTTCAAGTCTTGAATGAATCAGATGCAGGCTACTAAATATCACATACGTAATATATGTTACAGACTGGGAAAAGCGATAAAAATATTTTTCTTCAAACTACACAGCAGGGGAGACGCTGGGCAGTAACAGCAAGTTCTAACGCAGATCCTACTGGCAGCACAGAACGAAGTCCCAGAGCCGATGCTCACAACCTGCTGGAGCGGGCTCTAGTTATTTGCTGCCCAGCAGCAGTTCGGCGAGGTGAGCACTGTGTCATCCCTTGCGTACCAAAACAACGCTAATTCTGCACAGTTTGGACAAGCGCAAGGTCAGAAACGAGTAGACTATCGCTATTATGTCTGCTAGCTGTATACGGGAGAGTTTATATTCAATTCATGGAGCCCGTGCTGGGAAAAAAGCAAAACAGAAAAACATCCGCTGGGTGAAGAACCACGTTTGTCCACTGGATGCTTCTTTTGCCACTCAGGCACGCAGCTGGCTCTCCAGTGAAAAAGGACAAGATTTCTCCTGTCTAAACAACCAGTGCATCCATTCTACGGACTCCTTCTGGGCAGAGGCACTACTCTGTGCTTCACAGAAAGGCACACACCTAGGCGTACAAACGGTATTTCGGCAGGTGGGAGGGCAGTCCCACTGATGCACGTGCAACCCTAAAACCTGAAACTCCAGTCCTTCTTAAGCCCGTTTTTATCTTCAGTAATCACTAGCAATACAAGACCTAAATTCTAAATTCCCTTTTTCTTGTTAAAAACAGCCATGGTGTATCATAGGTTTACTTATTTACAGAACAGTCTATCGAGCCTGGCTACCTTGAAAAACCTGTTTTCCAAACTATTTCATAGATGCCATTCAACTGGTTGGGCGCATTCAGACCAAAGCACACCCAATTTATACCTCAGTCTTCAAACTGCAAGTGTGTAATACATACCAAGAACAAAACTATTTCTCTACTAACACCGTTAAAAACAAAAACTCAGCGCATCTACACGGAAGACCTGCCATTTATGCCAGGCATCAAGGAACTGAACTTGGAGGCTACTTTCCTGTACCTGTCAAGTGGCACGAGCACATCAGATCACAGGACTTTGCGCGGCCACGTGCACGTAAACCTCAGCACTAGATCATCAGTACATTGAAAACGTTGTGTTGGTAATTTCAGTCTGGAAGCTCTCACCAGGAGAGCTCAGATAACAACAGCAGCATTATCACCTTGCCTTTTTTTTTAAAAAAAAAAAAAAGCATTTTAATAACTACCTCTCTATCTGAGGCGAGTTGATTAGAAATCTGAACGTGGACCACGCACCCACCAGACAGCATGGCAAGATAAAGCAATGCACATCCTGACTTGCAATTCTATTACAGAAACGTTGTCCGAGGGTTCGTACGAGCAACCAGGAGCG